CACGTGCCACGGACCCTCCTCCTTCCTCCCTCCCTTCCCCCCCCCTTCCCCTCCTCCTTCTTCACTGCCCGCCTCCCAGTGACTCTGGGCAGTTAAGACTCTGGATTCCAAAGAGGTCTTAACGTCCCACCTGTTCTGGACTGTGGTTCTCTCATATCTTTTTACACTGCTAAATGTTGACCCTCTGTGCTCTCATGCTTTATGGAAAACTCTGAGCCCTGTTTCTTTAAGCTGCTGTCTTCTGATAGTGAATAATGATCTCTTTATTGTAGTCTATTTCAATATAACATAATTTAATTGTACATGCCACTTTTTAAGGTCCAGCCTCAGAGGCTAAGGGGGAAAATATGTCAGATGAATACATGATTCAGGGAACAGTCAGAAAATGAAATACTTATTATTCTGATCTAGTATAATCCACTCATAATAAAAGGAACCTTACCAAGGCAGGCTATAGTCCCATAAAACTCTTCCATGATTTGGCTGTGTAATGCTCTTTGGTCATGATCCAAGAGCTCCCACTCCTCTTCCATGAAGGAAACAGCAATTTCTTCAAAAGCCAGCAAATCCTGGATGAAATGGGAATTGTACTATTGGAATTGGGGGTCTTGCTCAACCTCCTCCCCTGCTCCCTGCAGGAATCCAAACTAAACTCTGCATGAGGGTTAGTTACCCAAACTCTGACTGATCCATTTAATCAAAAGAGATTGACTAAATCCTGGAGGACTGCTATTCCACAAAGATGTATAGGGTTTGTTTTATATAGCTTGACTTTTTAAGTAATTAATGTGGGTATTTATTTTTTAACTGTTTTTGGGTTTTACTCTAACTGTGAGGCACCCACAGTCACCCGCTGGGGGAGATGGGCGGCATACAAATTTAATAATTAATTAATTAATTAATAAGGCAGGGGAGGAATGGGAATGTCTTGCCTCTGTGGTCCTTGATGGCAACAATCCTTCCAAGTACGGAGACAAAGGAAACCCTTCCTTCCAGATCTTCTTGGATAGGCAGATTCTCCTGGGAGGAGGCAGTCCAAAATATCTCAGGTTCTGGGACACGGGGGTCTTTCAAGGTGACAACCAGCACCTATAACTGGACCCCAAACCCACTGCTAACAAGTGTTGCTGTTGAAGTAGAGGAGTGACGTGGGTGAACACAGGTATGCCCATAACTACTTGTGCTGCTGCTCTGGAACAGCTGCAAGTTCCAGATATTCTTTCAGGGCCAGCCCATGCAAAGCGCATTGCAGCAGTCCAAGTGGAGGTGACTGATGTCCTGTGAGTGGGCCTTCCAGCTCCAGGAATGGCTGTGATGGAGCTTTGCAAAGCCCCTTCTGGCCACCTCTGCCACCTGCTTCTCAAGCAGGAACTATGAGTCCAGGAGGATGCCCACATTATGAACCAGTTTGGTAGGGGAGCGACCCCATTCAGAACCAAGGATGGATTGTCCCTGTCCATAGTTGATTTCCAAATCCAAAGCTATTCTGCCTTCCCAGGATTGGGGCTGAACGGAAAGAAAATGTTCCTCCCGATTCAGGCCCTCAGAGCCTGCAGTAACTGGGATAGCCCCTCAATCACATCTCTGGTCAGCCCAGGATTGAGATACACAGCTGAGTATGGAATGATAGAATTGTAGGGTGGGAAGGGTTCATACAGATCATCTGCCCAACCTCTGCAATGTGCAGGGAAACCAATTAAACCATTCTTGGAAGGTGGCTGTCCAGCTTCTTCTTCAAAACCTCCAGAGATGGAGAATGTGCAATCCCCATGGGTAGCCTGGTCCACTGTTGTAAGATCATACTGACAGAAAGTTATAGGTATAGTGGTTAAAGCATTGGAAAAGGATGAGGAGACCCAGGTTCAAAATGACCATAATCTGTGGGCCAGTCTGACCACCTCACAGGGTTGTTGTTTTTCAAATAAGATAAACAGAAAGCCCATGTGAGCTGCTTTGGACTTATAGAAGAAAGGCAAGATATCAATCTAGCAAATGCAATAAGCAGAGATATAATGGAACAGGGGCTTACAGTCCTTCTGGGCATCCTGAGAACATTGGGGAAGGACCAAGAGGAAGTGGCTGTTCTCATCACCTACTGGGGGCTTCCCAAGAGCCATCCGGTTGCCACAGTGGAGTGAATTAGAAGGGCCTTTGCTCTGACCCAAGAGAAGGAGGATCCAGAAGAGTGAGTGAGGGGGCACTGCTCCTGCCTCTCACCTTCCCGGAGACCCTTCCCCATACCTGAACTGCTCCAGCAGCTGTTCCCCCTCTGCCACAAGGAAGAAGCCATGATGGAGTACTGATTCCCGGCCTGGTTCCACCTTCTGAGAAAAGAACAAAGCTGGTGGAAGCCCACAGCACATGCTCCTGCCAAAGGAGAGGGGAGGAATTCCCAGGATGGGTGAGAGGAAGGCAGGCAGGGAGGCCGGCAGGCCGGCAGGCAGGCAGCCCTCAGAAGATCAGAGGATGACTTTTGGAGGAGGATTCTCAGAGCCCAAGGGTCTGAGGTGGGAAACAGGGAATCAAGCCTTTCCTCCAGGACTCAGCCCAAGGCTTCCAGGTGGAGGGAGACCAAGATCCCCATTAGACTTACCCTCCCAGGGTGACCCTCTCCCTCCCTCTGCCAGGACGCTCCTTCTTAGGGGGCTCTGTCTGGAGGCCAACGGAGCCCCCTCCGGGGCTGGCAAGGCAGGGCCCTTTTCTGCAAAGAGGTGATTTCTCTGAAACGGCAGCAAGGATCGAACACTTGGAATCAGCAGTAAGATCAAAGAAAAAAACAGGATGATTCCCCCCTGAATGGCCCAGAAGACCCTGGCCAAGACTTTTAGGAGGTCCCCCCTCAGAGCCACCAGGACAACAGGCCCTCACCTGCTGCTGCTCCTCCAGCTTCTTCTGCTCCAACTGACCCAGTAGGAAGCCTTCAGCCAGGGCCACCGCCTGGGAGCTGCTCTCTGCTCCGCACTCCCGCACCCAGCTGGACATCTCCACCGGCAGGATGGCCAACAGGTGCCCC